GCATGCACAGATCTGCCCTCACAGAGGAGGGAGAGCTTGTACCTGAAGGCGGGCCAGGGGGGGCTCTGCAACTTACCCGGCTGCTTCTTGCACCCCCTGGGCTCCTTACTGCTGGAGCTCCGTTCCTGTGCGCTCCCGCAGGAAATGACCCCTGTAGAAATCAAACACATGTTCTGCAGAGATAGATCTAATTGTGGATCGGGGAGGCAAAATATAGGTTTTAAATCTGCTCGTATGCAAAGAAGAAGAGAAGAAGAAGAGATTGGATTTATATTGGATTTATACCCCGCCCTTCACTACCCAAAGGTGTCTCAGAGCGGCTTACAAACTCCTTTCCCTTCCCCTCCCCACAACAGACATCCTGTGAGGTGGGTGGGGCTGAGAGAACTCTGACACAAACTGCTCTTTTTCAAGGACAGCTGTGCCAGAGCTTGTGACTGACCCAAGGTCACATCAGCAGGTGCAAGTGGAGGACTGGGGAATCAACCCCGGTTCTCCCAGATTAGAGTCCGCACACTTAACCACTACACCAAACTGGCTCTCAGGCAGGCAGCTCTCTCAAAGACACTACTCCCCTGGAACTCTGCCTGAATAGTGCTTTCCTTGGTCGGGCACTACTGGCATGAAATCTGCAGTCCAACTTTACTATGGCAGTTTCCACACAGGTTGTTTGCCTGGGTTTTCTTGGAAGTGGGTTTCATTTCCTGCTTCCCCACAGCATCAAGATAAATTCGTGCCCCTCGTGGGATTCCCCCAACTTTTCTCTGACCTTTCCAAAAGCTGCTTTGCTGTGATGTTTTGGGAAGGATCACAGCAAAGTCTGGATGGCTGCTGTGTGGGTAGGAAAGTTAGGATTTTCCCAGTCCCACCCACACAGTAGCAATTATCCCTGCTCCTGTCTCAGCAGCAGCCGTTTCTGGGAGCCGGTGTGGTGTAGTGGTTAAGAGCGGCAGACTATAATCTGGAGAACCAGGTTTGATTTCCCCACTCCTCCTCCACGGGAAGCCTGCTGGGTGACCACAGGAAGCCTGCTGGGAGCACTCCCAGGGGGCGGTGCTCATCGTTTCCAAACTGAAGAGCCAGCGCTGTCAGAAGACGTTTCCGTGGTCATGTGGCCGGCATGACTAAACAGATGGAGAATAAGGTTTCCCTTGCTTGAAAGCCAGAAAATCCGACTCCCAGGGGGCGGTGCTCATCGTTTCCAAACTGAAGAGCCAGCGCTGTCAGAAGACGTTTCCGTGGTCATGTGGCCGGCATGACTAAACGCCAAGGTGCATGGAACACTGTTACCTTCCCACTGAAGTGGTACCCATTTATCTACTTGCAATTTTTCTTGCTTTTGAACTGCTAGGTTCCCAGGAGGGGGGCAGAGACGGGAGCTCACTCGGTCACACAGCACTAGGGTCTTGAACTGCCAAACTACAGACCTTCTGGTCTGCAGCTCAGCATCTTAACCTCTAAGTCACCATGACCCCTCAAGATGGAGAATAGTGATGTATAAAAAACTACTCTTCTTCTTCCCGCCCCAGGGGCTTTTCATTTTTAATTAATCAACAATTGAATTTCACTAGAATGATATAACCACCTGTATATCAAGTTCTTTGAATTCCCAACTTTTGGGTTTTTTTAAAGTAAATCTCTGCCTCCTTTCTTTGCAGATATATAAAGGGGAAAGCACATCTCCTCAACAAAAAGGGCTAGAGACTCATTTTTTTTAAATGCATGGCATTCAGAGAACATGGTACATAAATTGATATATTGTTACATAACAACAACATTCAGTTGACGCCGGGCATATCCCGTGTTTTGGGGGTGGGGTTCCCCCTGGGGCCCGATCCACCGGCGGTGGAGAACGGGCCTCTGGGGTGGGGTTTCCCCGCCCCCCGGGGGGACTTGGCAAGCCTAGCCCCGCTCCAAATTGGGGGCCACTTCAAAGCTGCAGTTAAACATTTTAAATAGCAAGGGATCCATTCACAGTTGTCACATCTAGTTTCTAAGGTTGCCAATCCCCAGGTCCCAGTAGGCGTTCCCTCGCTTTTCAGGGTTTCTGCTTGCTGCTGGCCAGCTGGCTGGGGGGGGGGGGGGAGACCCCACCCCCGAACACCGGGTGTAACGTCCCTGATGTGATGATGTCACCTGGAAGTGAGGTCATCATGCCGGAGTTGTCGCATGGGATGTTCTGGTTTGAGAGCAAAACTCTATGTTAAATTTGGCCTAAAACCATAGAGTTTTGCCCTTAAACCAGAGCTTCCCCAACGTGATGACATCACTTCTGGGTGATGTCATCATGTCCGCAGTGTCCCGGAATGCCCCCCAAATCCCCCTTCCAGCATGGCGAGGGGACCTGGCTGACAAACCTACTAGCTTCCCCTCCATCCGAGAACCCACTGAAGTGTCATGTTGCAGAGCTTCAGCGATCCAGCATTTTACAGGGACATTTCACAGCTTCCTGACCGCCAAGGTTAGAAACTTGCTGACATGTTAGGGGTGAGTTTAGATGGCTGTTCTTCAGTGACTTGAAGGCAAACAAGTTACCAGCGAGCCTACCACACTGCCTGCCCTACCATGTCCTTTGGTCAAATCAAATTTTGCCGTTCACAGGCAATGATAGCCTCTACCGTACGTCCTCAGACTCTTTGAGAAGCTGTTGTCAGTGCGCAGAGCTTGATAGGATCTTTTAAGTACCTTGAGAACACTATAATGAAGCTTCTGGTATTTTCTGCTTGGTCCCTCATGCCTTGTTAAAGCTAATTATTGTGTTGGGGGAGAAGCTACTCAGTTAATTAGCGTTTCTGAGAAAAGAGAATCGGGCAGGGATGTGTAGGATCCGTCTTTCTCTGGCTGCAATGGGGGGGAAGTGTGACTCAGCCCTTGGACAGCGAATGAGTGTGGGGACCTTGTGGATGCGGCAAAATAATCAATAACTAGGGTTGGCAGGTCCCCTCTGGCCACCGGCGGGTGATAGGGGGCAGGGTTGTCAGCTCCATGTCGGGATCTTCTGGAGATGTGAGGGTGGAACCTGAGGAGGACAGGGAGCTCAGAGGGGTGCAATGCCATAGAGTCCACCCTCGAAAGCAGCCATTTTCTCCTGGGGAACTGATCTCTGCAGTCTGGAATTGAGATGTGATTCCGGGGGATCAACAGGTCCCACCTGGAGGCTGACATCCCTATCCATAACACTTTGTTGGATATTGTAACTCTACATGCAAGGGGATGTGGGAGGGAAAGGGTTAAGAGAATTCTCTCACTCAGGTACACTTGGCAGTGTGTCCCCCCCCCCCCCGCACCCATTAGATCATG